CATCAATGTTATCAAGTGTTATACATTCTACAATATTGCAATAATGTAGACTCAGAGAACTTTAAGAAATATGTAGAATTTGCATGTGAGTTGTTTTGTAAAAGAATCTATACAGTGTTTGTGGATGGCGGCAACAACAGCTCTGCCAAGTTTACGCGCCAAAAAATCCCAGTCAGGTTTTACCCGCCAAAACTAACTCCCCGCCAGCGACCCCCAAGGTAAACAAATGTGACGTCATATTACCCTGGATTTTTATAGCGGCGTTGAGAGGAGAGGAGACACACTACGAACATAACACACTACGTAATACATTCTCCCCGACGCTATGTAAATATAGATCTTTTATTAAGAAGTCTTCCGGCAGCAGCAAGTAAAATAATGTAATACAATGTAAATTCTTGTTATACCTCCGACATAACGCATTTCTCAAGCCTACAAACTGTTTATATATACATTAATGGTTTATATTTATATAGTTTAGTGTATATATATAACAGATGGTAAATAAACAAAATAGATAAGATGAAAAATCAGCCAGAACAAAACAAAACAAATATATATCTTTAATTTCCGTACGTCGCCACACATAAACAAAGCATAATAATAATAAAGGAAGGAATGATTATCTAGAGGAGAGAGAGAGAGAGAGAGAGAGAGGAGGGGGGGGGGGGGGGGAGAGATATTGCTTAACGTCCTCCACATTGTTGGTGAGTCAGCTGCCTCTCCTCCCTGGTCTTGACTGAACTAACATTAATTCTCCTCTCCGGTAACTAATTATTATATGTGACTTGATTCCAAACTAGTTCCTCATTTTTATGTATATATGTATGCATATTATATGTATATATATTTATATATAGAATATATGTATGTATGTATGTATGTATGTATGTATGTATGTATGTATGTATGTATGTATGTATGTATGTATGGATGGATGTATGTATGTATGGATGTATGTATGTATGTATGTATGATAAACATGCTGCTTTAACTGACTGGCAGAACAACCTGCAGTCTCGGACGAAAACTGATACCTTCCGCAAGAAGAAAGCGTCGGTCCAGCGCGAACTTCACAAACTAAAGAACGACTGGTTTAAAACTAAGCATGTGAAACGCAAAAACTTACAGATCAACACAAAATGCGCATTTTTTTTAATTCAACTAAAATATTTTATGGGCCAATCACTCATAGCGCAGCCAGCCTCCGCTCATCCGACGGTAACTCCATAATTAAAGATGATGAAGGCATCACTCAGCACTGGAAAGAATACTACCATTCCCTACTCAACCGAAACATCGATGTGGACGTCCTGACTTCCTAGCAGATCCCTCAACTTCCAGAACTGACCCACCTCAGCTATCCTTCATCTCTGGATGAGGTAGCTACTGCCATCAAACAGATGAAAAATAACAAAGCCTCAGGGCCTGATGGAATCCTAGCCGAGGTGTATAAAGGAAGAGGACCTCTGCTTATCAGCCGTCTCCACTCTCTCCTGGAGAATGTATGGGAAGGAGAAACCCTAAGCTCTTGAAGACGCCTCCATTGTCAATATAAATGAGAACAAGGAAGACCGGTCAGACTGTAGTAACTACCGCGGGATCTCGCTGCTGTTCGAAGGTGGCAAGATCATCGCCAGAGTCCTCCTAAGCAGACGTCTTCCTGAGGTGGAAAACTTCCTCCCAAAATCTCAATGTGGCTTTAGAGTCTAAAGCCACATTGAGATTTTAGCTCATCAAGAGAGTTTAGACCATCAAGCGGCACCACTGACATGATTTTTGCTGCCCGCCAGATACAGGAAAGCCCTCTAGTGGACCCTCAGCTGTTTTGGCTGCCCACCAAAATTCATCACGATTGTGAGGCAACTCCAGAATGGCATATACGACAGTGTCCTGCACAATGGCACCCAGTCTGAGTTCTTCCCCATCCAAACGGGGGTTGAACAAGGGTGTGTACTGACACCAACTCTCTTTTCCATTTTCTTGGCTGTCTTCCTTACTCGTTCCAGCGTCAATTTAGCCGGCGGGTTGGACATCGTGTACAGGATAAAGGGTCTTTTCAACATAAGACGACTCCAGGCAAAGGTGTCGGTAGCTTCCATTACCGAGCTTCAGTATGCAGACGACCTAAGCCTTGTCGCCCACACTGAACACGACCTACAGGAGATCCTGAACGCCTTTGCAGATGCGTATGCACACTTCGGCCTTGAGGTGAATGTACGTAAGACTCAAATTCTCTTTCAACCTGCCCCTGGTTCAGACACACCTCCACCCTCTCTAATGTTACCCACTTCGGTATCTCGCCCCACCTGTCGACCACCACGGACATCGATGGAAAGATTCAGCATCAGACCAGATGAGCATCTCAAGCCTTTAGCAGACTACAAAACCGTGTCTCCAGCTGTAGGGAGCTGAAATTATCTACAAAGTTACAATGTCGAGCAGTGGTCCTCCCCACCCTGCTATATGGCAGCGACACATGGGTCACATACAGGAGGCA